ATTTTTCAAAGCTAATCCAGCTACTACTGAAGAGCCAGAATGTTCTGACTCCATTTTGGCTAGCTTCTTTAGACAAGCCCAGACAAGCTTAAGCATATTGTACATGTAAAAGCCTTATAAGGTATGAACAAAAACTTCTGGCTCTAAACGATATCAGTCAGCACATTCCAATGCCCTGAAGACAGCCCCTACCAATCAAGACTTCCCCGTACACAGGATATGGGGACATCCAATTATTTTAAAAAGATGCTTGGTGCACAGGTTTCTGTGGAGTTCACCAATAAAAGCCCCTGCCTACTACTGTTTGGGGCCAGACTCCATCTTTGGCTCATGTAGTCTGTGCCTGGCTACCTGCCATTTGGTTGTTGTCTTCTTTTTTTTTTCACTTTAAATTCTTAAATAAACTTTTTGTATAATCTTTTTGGGTATCTGTGGGAATTATTCTCTATTCTCAAACCCTAACAGAGCTACAGACAGTTGTGAACTGCCTCATGGGTGACTGGAAACTGAAGTGGATCCTCTGCAAGAACAGCAAGTGCTCTTAACCCCTGAGTCATTGCTGCAGCCCGCTTTACTTCTGATCTTTATGAAACCATTTATAGTTTCGAGGTTAAAAACCTGATTCATAAAAATGAGATGAATTTGTAAATCAATGCTCTACCTCTTTATCTTCTTCAGCCATTGCCTATATAGTGAGAACAGACTTAGGATGTAGGTATGAACAGTAGACGTTAAAATGCAAGCATCTCAACAAGCCTTGCTTTTCACACAAAGTGCGTTTTTTCAGACGAGGGCATGGAAACTAGCAAGTATTGGCACATAATTTTGCTGTACACCTTCCAGAAAAGTTTTAACTGATGACTCCATGCTCTGTTCTTTCCACAGAGAGCTGACTGGTATTTGAAGAGTTTTTTATTAATCCAAGGAAAATATCATGCACCCGTCCCAAGCCTCAATCTTGTTCTTAAATGTATGTATTTTTATTTGCAGAGAAGCTGTACAAGGCAACTGTGTACATCATTCTAAGGTAACAATTTTGGCAATCTTGTTTTAGCTAGGAAAGCCTTATTAGCTTTCAAGATATATTAGAAGCTTGAAAAGATAAATTATACTACAAATATAATTTATAGGAAAATTAAAATATTTATTTCAAAATGTTGAGAATTCTTAAATGCTACTATTTTTCAATTTAAAGAAATTTCTTATAAATTTAGGGTTTACTTTTAAAGAAATGTCTTATAAACTTGTTTAAAGATATTTGAGTTATCGGTAAGAAGTTAATTTATAACTCTCCTATTAACTTTGATAATATCTGATGGGCAATCAAAGTCACTTTTTAAAAAGAAAGTTGTCTATAAACTTTGGCTTTCCAAATATGTCTGTATGAGTCATTATTTTGGCAATTAGAAAATTTCATTCAAAATGTATTCGGAAAGACAGCTAGTATGGTTTATGCAATTCTACAAATAGCTGGAGATTTGAATCCCCACATATTTAAGTGTTGGTTTGTAATTTTTTGTGTTTTCTTTTGGTCTTTTTGAGACAAGGTCTCCTCGTAGCTCCAGCTGGCCTGGAACTCACTTTGTAGGCCAGGCTGGCCTTTAACTCACAAAGATTCCCTTGCTTCTTCCTCAGCTTGGTTTGTAAATTTAAACGGCACAAAATGTGTTTATCATTGTATCAAAACTAAATCCTGAAGTTCTATGGTTGAAAGAAGAAAAAATTCTAAGACAGCTACAGAGCTACAGAGATATTGTGCTTCCTACATTTAAAATTTATTTATTCATTTATTTTTTATTCAAAATTTATTTAAAATTAAGTCAAAGTGCTTCCTAAAATTTTGCTCTTTTTTTTTTTTTTTTTTAAGACAGGGTCTCCCTGTAGCCCCAGCCGGCCTGGAACTCACTATGTAGACCAGAATGTCCTTGAACTCACAGAGATCCACCTGCCTCTGCCTCCTTAGTGTTGGGATTAAAGGTATACACCACCTTGACCAGCTAGCTAGTGCTTCCTAAAATTTAAAGGACTTGTTGAAAAGACGATAGATATAATATAGGTTGTTTTTGTTTAAAAAATAAACATTAAGTATGCCATTTATTATAGAGGTAGAGAGAAAAAGCAAGAAATTTAAAATAGTCCATGTAATAAAATATAACTATCATCACAGGGGAATACTCTTTTTATTAAAATTTTATTTATTTATTTTTATTTTATGTGTATGGGTGTATTGCTTACATGTAGGTAAGTGCACCAGTGTCATGCATTGCCCATGGAGGTCAGAAGGGGCTTGTTACAATTTTCATTTAACAACAGAACTATTAATATGCATAGCTTCATCAACGAATGTTTCAATATTGATGAGACCAATAGTTTACCAACAGATATAGAGCCCTTTGGGATGCCAGGTGTTATTATTGTATAGTAAATGATACTTGTTACTGGTTTTTGCAAAGCAAAATTTCACAATTTAAAATTTTGTCACTGATAATCTACAAACCTGTGCTCACTTAACATTTCAAACTTTTGAATACTTTGTACAAAAGCACCACACCTCTATATGATTTTCTACAGTTTTAAACAGTTTGTGGTAGATGGTCTTTCTTTTTTTATTTATTATTTTTATTTTATGCGTATGCATGTATTGCCTGTGTGTAGGTAAGTGCACCTGTGTTGTGCAATGCCTGTGGAGGACAGAAGAGGCTGTTGGATCCTGGAACTGGAGTTATGGACAGCTGTTAGCTTCCATGTGGGTGCTGGGATTCGAACCCAGGTCTTTGGCAAGAACAGTCAGTGTTCTTAACCACTGAGACATCTCTCCAGCCCATTAGTTCCTTTTCAAGGAAATTCACATTGCAAGATTCTTGGAAGAGGGATGAGTCAATCCGATGTTACACATGTAAATTTGCTAAGCTAAAGGTCAAAGTACAGAGTCATAGGAAAGGAAATAAATTCTGAATAAATTCTTTTGAAATTTGAGAAGAAAAGTAAATAATGCAAGCACTGAATTGATCATGGGCTTTTTATTCATATCCAAAATTTACCCTTAAGGTGTATTTTTGGGAATTTATACTAATTAGTTCACTATTTTTTTAAGTGATCATCCTCATGGTATATTTTGAATTCCTATCTTTTTTCTATAATGTTTTTATTATATATCAGGTCTTACAAAATATGTTTGCATTTTTATTTTTTCTTTATATTATACAGGACTCCCTAGTAGTCAACAATGTAGAAGAAACAGCTAATGCAAAAGATGAAAGTCAAAGTAGTGACACCGTGTACAAGGAAGAATGTGGAGAATCATGTGATGCTAAGATCAAAATTACACGGGAAGAAAAACATCTCATGTGTAGTAAGTATTAAAAGTGACCATAATTATAAAAGGGATTCAACTTATACACATAAACTTTGCCTGAGTTATTTAATATATGTCTTATTGCCTAGGCCAGATGCTTTATGTGTTTGTCACATAGTACGTAGGTACTTAATAAATTCTTGGTAAGTCAATAAATCCTTCTTCTATATGGTCCACTTGCATTTACGAACCACAGAAGGAGAACTTTGATAGTAGTAATATATTAATTTACCTGGGGCTATTTCATCCCATTCATTTGGCCCTAGGAAATTTCACTTCAGTTTTTTTCTGGGAGGGGAGGGGGTTCTAGAAACCAATACATTATTACTGTATGATACCCTAACTAATGCAATAAGTGGAATACAAATTCAGTCATTTAATGTAGGAAAGCATCACAAATAGCGTTTTAGTCTCAATTTAAGAAGCTGTTTAATCACAATACAGTATTATCATCTATTATATGAGTGTAGGGGTGAGGTGAAGAAGGGGGACCAGGAAGGGTGGAGCTGATGATCTGATCTCCTTCTTGTAGGACAGTCATGTGAGCATCAAGGAGTATGTGAAAAGCCGACTTTAATGTGGTTAATTCATGTGTAACACAAGTGTCTCAAGCTTCTCTAACCCATGGATTCACTTTGGACCCTTTAAGACAGATGTTCAAACACTGAGTGTTGTGGCACACACTGTTACTGCCAGCACTTAGGAGGCACAGGCTGGTGGATCTCTGTGAGATTGAGGCCAGCCTGGTCTACACAGCAAGTTCCTGAAGTTCCTGATCAGCTGCGGCTACAGAGAGACCGTCTCAACTGCCTCCCCCCGCCCAAAATCAGATGCTGTACTTCCTGACTCTGCACTTCTCATCTCATAGAGTGAGAACAGGGGTATTCTCCCTACAGCCCCAGTTGGCCTAGAGCTTGCTATGTAGAGTAGGCTGGCCTAAACTCACAGAGATCCACCTGCCTCTATTGGTATTAAAGGCATGTGCCACCATGCCTGGCTTGGTATTCAGAATGTTGTCTCATAATTAGAACAGATTATTTTGGGAAATCTATGTTATTAGGAAACATAAATTAATTTAAGAACATTGGAGGCTAGAGAGATGGCTCAGTGATTAAGAGCACTTACTGCTCTTGCAGAGGAACTGGTTTGATTCCCAAAAATCCACATGGCAGCTAACAATAGTCTATAACTCCAGTTCTAGGGGATCTGATGCCCTCTTCTGGCCTCCACATGCACTTGGCACATGTGTTTACTTACATACATACAAACAAAACACACATACAAATAAAATAAAAACAAACTATTATTAACATTGCTTTCTTTAAGAAACAACATGATTACAATGAAAAACTTTATAGGCTGGAGAATTTGGAACAGAAGTGAATGGCAAACCCACATCACAGCAACAGTGTCAAATTTCATATTATTGTTGAAGTTTGGTAGTACAGTTTTGTCAGTAAATAATATTAAAAAGTAATAGTAGGCGTATTGAATTGAGAATTTATATCTTAAAATATAATTTTAGTTTGAGAGTTCTGTCAGTTTTTACAGTAATTTCTATTTCTTTTTTTTTTAAACTTCTCAGACTATGATTTTTATCTCTAGAAGCTCAATTAGGGCATAGGTGAAGGTGTACTGGGGCTTAGAAGAGTAATAGAAAATAATGGAAAACCTCTTGGTGCCTGGTAATGGGAGAGGTCCAGGATCATGGGTGCCTAGGATCCATGAGGAATGAGGACCACAGCCGGCCCTTAGGGGAGGTGGGAGGACCGGTTTAGAGAATCAGTCCTCCCAAGGCTAGAATTTGCAAATGACAGAGACCTCCCCTATCCCGAGCACAAGAGGAAAAATCACTGCTGTACACAACCTGGGACCACAGGGGAGGAAGCTGTGGGGAGTGCAATCACTCAGAGAAGGCTGAAACTGCTGCCCAACACCAGGAAGCCCTCCATGCTCCACTTTGCTCCACCCTCTGCCTACTGCCAGACGAAAGTGGAGCTGTAGCTCACTGACAAAGCTCCAGGCACATATGCGGGACCTACGCTAATTAAAAAAAGAATGCTGAAACCTGAGCTGGAGAGATGGCCCAGCAGTTAAACAAGCGTGCTCTTGTGGAGGACCCAGGTTCAATCTCCAGCACTCACAACTGCCTGTAAGTGAGCTCCAGGGGAATCTGATGCCCTCTTCTAGCCTCTATGCCACATAACACCCCCACACATACATAATTAAGAATAATAAAAATCCTAATAAATTGAAACAATTGTTTTCTGGTTAATCCCATTTTAAACACAATCTACGCCAACTAAAATATATAACTATGAGTATTCAGATAAATTGAGGCAATATTCTTTACTTATTTATCCCCAAACTTGTAAAATTCATCATTTTCACTGTAATTATTTAATATAACAATGTAATATCTAGCAACCATTTTTCTTTGATTAAGGAAACCTGCAAAATTCTATTGTTTCTTACACACGAAGTACCAAAAAATTACTAAGAAATATAATGGATGAACAGCAAGCATCTTTGGATTATTTATCTAATCAGGTAATGAAATTTTTAAGCATTTTGGTGTTACTGCATGCGTACACTGACATAGTTGTCTGGAAGTACCATCATTCCATTCTTTATGCATGTTCTTCATGTTTAGGGTCTACAATGTGAGCAAAACAATAAGCCTCAGGCAAGCACAGAGTAGCAAAAGCAGTGATCTTTGTTCAATGGGAATACAGCCTAGTGGCCAGAAAACAAGTGTAGAAAACAGAAATAATCTGGATGCTGTCAGAATGACACTAAAGAGAAATCTAAGATACAGGATACCTCCCAGAAGAGAGAGTCTGTGAGCTGAGCCATGAGAGATGAATAGATGCTTTTAAAGTCACTAGGGTTAGGCCTGGGGAAGAGGGCGTTCCCTTGGGGGGCCACTTATGAGTTGGTATAGGGGTGGGAAGGCTGAGAGTATGCAAGGAAATCTCACTAAAAGAATGGTCAGGAACTAAATCTTGTGACACCGGGGGCCGCTGAGTTAGTTGAGCTAGAGAATGCCGTGATCCAATGGGCAGCTGGTGTGGAGGACGATGGAGGAGAGCCAAATGGAGGCTGTGAGAAACTGGAGAAGCACAGTAAGAGCAGGCCTGCAAAAGCAGACAGCAAATGACAGCAGACAGAAGTCAGTCTGAAAGAGGGAGACCCCACTGAGCTTAGTAGGTGTTGCTTAATTTGTTTAAACAGTAAGAATTATACCTAGAAGAGAAGGTATCCTTATGTAGTTCAGAGCTGGGTTTTGAAGAGGCTTAGAGATAGCATTTATATAATTTCACTAAGTACAAATTTGCTTTAATGTGTCTGTCTGTATATGTGTGTTTAGGTTAACGAGCTCATGAATCGAGTTCTCCTTTTGACTACAGAAATTTTTAGAAAACAGCTGGATCCTTTCCCTCCCAGGCCTGTGCAGTCACATGGTGAGCACTCTGTTATTCCAGCCTCTTCACAGTTCTGTTTTATTACTTTAAACTTCCTGGACAGCTTGGTGGATTGGTAAGTTTTGTTTAGAAAACTCCACTCACTATTTCCTAACAGGCTGGTGGACCTGCCATTAAGTCAGTTACACCATGGACAACGTGTACTTTTCTAAGTTGAGACACTCTTCCAACCATTTCAAAACCATAGCTGTAAAATAGTATTTGGAATCTGCTGAAAATCAAATAGTTTTAGGTAGGTTTATTCTGAGCTTCCCTCCCTTGGCATTTTATTAATAATTACTTTCACCCAGAAGAAAAGAAAGTTCCTCCCACAAATGAAAAATGCTTTTGACATGTCAAACTGGTACATAAAACTTAAAAAGAAAAAGCAATTTAAGACAGAAATAAATACAAAGTTAACTTTTTTTGTTATAAAATACAGCAGATTAATTCCTATACTGGGCTTCTAAGAAAAATGCTCTATAAATCTCACAAATATGAATTCATACCGAGAAGTTCTAAGTAGATCATGAATATTGCTGAGGGCCAGTATGTGACCTTGTTTTTTTCTTAGAAAGAGGAGGGAATAAAAAGTGCTAGAGAATCTCTTTGTTCTGGTTACAAATACAGGCACTGTTATGTGTTATTTAAAATTTACCTTATTGTATCGTTTACCGTCCATAATTTCTTCTCAGTAGGTAGTGTATAAAGGTAGCTGAGCATGAACTTGACTGTAAGGCTGACCTCAAGTCTCTGAGCTACTGTTGCCTTGAAACAAGTTTCCATACTAGTAAACTGATAATCCCTATCTGCATTTCTTCTTTGCCATGGCCACATAGCTGACAAAAAATGACCTAATTGAAAGGTTTATTCTGGCTCACAGTCGAGGATACAGTCTTTCATGTTGGGGAAGGCATGGTAGCAAGAGTGTGAGGCAGCTGGCCACATTACATCTGCATTCAGGAAAGAGAGAGAGAGAGAGAGAGAGAGAGAGAGAGAGAGAGAGAGATTGGGATCCCAGTCCATGAGGGTTATGCTACACACATTCTTTTCTCAGTTAAACCTTTTCTGGGTACAATCTCACGGACACACCAATAGGTGCATCTCTTAGACAATTCTAATTCAAGACCAGCTGACAGTGATCATTGTTCATCACACTATCTTACACAGTTACTCTGAGGCGTAATGGTAAATACACAGGAAGCTCAAACTATATATGATGCACAGTTGACATAAAGACTTGCTTTGATTATTGTCAGCATCAGATGGAGAACATACAGCCCAGGAAGTCTGAAGAGTCTGTTCACATTTATTGACTGGTAATGACAAAGCAGCTGCCCTGCCATAGATCAGTCCTTCCCTGTGAGCTTCTGTCACACCTCTGAGATCACACTATGATAAGAATGTCTCGTCACAATTCAGAACACAGGCCACAAAAGCACGGCTCCTGGAAATGAAGGGGAAAGGCAACAAGTTTTCATATCTAATATTCTTACCACTTAAATTGTCATAATAACACCGTAAAGTAGATGAGAGTGTTATTATCCCTGTATCACATAAAGATTCTAAGGCTTAGTGTGGTTACTCAATGGTTCCTGGCTAGTAAGTAATAGAACTAAAATTCGAAGCTAGCCATTTGAGTAAATGACACTCTAGAACGTGTGTTCTGTATTTGTGATTGAACTCAGAGCCTCATACAGGTGACGCAAGTGATCGACCAGTAAGCTCCATCCCCTGTCCTCTTTCTACTTTTTATTTTGAGATAGGGTCTTATGTTGCTCAGGCTGGATTTGAACTCTGTAGTCCAGGCAGCCTGGGACTTGTAATCCTCCTGCTTACTTTCCTGAGCCGCTGGGATTACAAAGTTGAATTTATTCAATTATATCTATAGAAGATATAGTAAAACATAACATTCCTTGGCATATTCATATCCACGCACATATATCTACAGTCCTCTGGGGACCTGAATGCTTTGGGGGTAGGGAGGGATATAGCTGTAACTTCTGTAAATAGAACAAGCATGTGCCTACACTTAATTTTTTGCTAATGAAGAAAATGATTTCTTCTTCCTCATTTTGGCTATTGCACTGGTGATTTCAACATATTCGAGTTCGAAGTCTGGAATAAAGTAGGCAAGGAAGTGTCAGTCATAGTTAACCTGCTTATTCCTTCAAACGTTCTCCTCCCCACTCCTTTATGCATTGTTCCCTCCAAGATAAACAGGGATTCCTTGGAAGAGAGAATGAATAATTATAAAATACCTCAAGTAAGTGTTGATCTCAAAGGAGACTTTTAAACAGTGTAGGATACTAATCGCTGATAGTGATGTTATTAGTGAAGTTTTGCTGCAGCCTAAATTCTTTGATCTATAATTTCATATATTTTTCTCCTGGTTTCTAAAATTGTGATAATTTTTCATTTCTAAGATGTTAAAGTCATGGTATCATTAATATATCATTAATCATGAACAATTTAAGATAGCATTATCAATTCTCTATGGTTAAGCAAGCGATTCTCTTAAATGTACACTTGAATGTATTCTAAATCATTAATTTTATTTTTCTAGGTTTAGATTGCACTGATATTAAAGATACACTTGGCTCTGTCACCGAAACACCAAGTGGTTTATATATAATCTTTCCAGAAGGATCTAGTTATCCATTTGAGGTAAAGTTTCTAATATATATAGAATAATATAAACATCTGGCTAACTTAGTTAATCTTAAATGTTTGTTTTAATATTTAACATTTAATTTTGAAAAATTTAAATAAACTAATAAGAGCTCTAGTTTCAAAATTTGGTTTCCTTTAAGTCTTATGTTAAGACCATGAACTTCATTTTTCTGAGTTTCCATGGTTACACTATTTAAAGTAAATCCATTTGGTGTAAGGTTTTATATTATCCTTATAGTGGGCAGAACTATGCACTATAAATCCATGCTTTAATTAGCATATGGAGATAGGAAAATAATAATATGCTTTGCCTTGGGGATTTTGTACTTTTGACTTTCCTTCCTGTTTATGACAATGCTTTCTTTGAATGACAAGTGATTTTATGTAGTTGTATAAGAAGTTAATAATAAGAAAGGACGTCCAATGTGGTGGCTCCTGCCTGCAATCCCAGCTCTGGGGCTGAGGCGGGAAGATTGCCATGAGCTGAGTTACAGTGGAGACCTTGCCTCAAAAAAACCCAAGACTATTAAGTAAAAAAATCTTTCACTGTGGTATAAGGAAGCTTGATACACTGATCCACACACAGCTTGAATAATCTGAATTACAGTCATGTCCACCCTTAGTACTTCCATGCTGGTATTTCCAGTAGAAACTTCTGCAGATGATGCATATGGAAAGACATGTATATCTATTTTTCCTGGACATTTTTCTTTGTGTGTAAATGTTTATGATACTTATACTTCATGGATAGTCTATTGTACAATAACAACTTTTTTTCTAATTAGAATACAACCAGTTTCTGTTCTTGGAGTTATTACCATAATTTCTCTTGAAATCTAGTGACAAGGTGTCAAAAGTTGGGAATTATGTGGGAAATCATTTTAAAATTACTTAAGTTACTTTGCCTACACATTCCAAACTGAATCTGAACAGCTGTAGAAGGGAAGACTTCTAATTTTGTGGAGTGGTGTGCATAATCACCTCTTCTGTGGGGAGTGTTGGCTCCCTGGCTTCCTCCACATTGCCTTTTTTTTTGTCTCTGCGTGGGAAGTTTCTGGTGGAGTGGATTACTTTGATTTCTTCCCTTAAAATGTCTCTGGTAGGGTATTTCACACAATAGAGGCACCTCTGAGCACCTGCCGAGTGGGCACAGACTGTGCCTTTCTGTCTTGAAATGCCAATATTAACAGAGGCTTGTGGGAAAAAAGAACAATCAAAGGCAGCAGATAATGACATTTAACACTTAAAAGCACCTAGCATTTCATTTCAAAGAAAAAGTTCATTTGTAAAGCAATTCATCTCTCTGCCATGTCACATCAGTACTGTTATTACTGAACTGAAAAAATATTTAGAATTGAAGAACAATATGATAGTCTTAAAATACTACAAACACAGAAATGAGAGACCACAAAGTGTGTGTCCCTGGATAGGACTCCTATGCTGAAACTTGCCCACCCATGTCTCAGGGACCATTACAGAAGAGGGGCTGGAAAGATTGTAAGAGCCAGAATTGGTGCATGACTACAAGGAAACAGTTTTGCAGGCCTCTGGGAGCCTGCTCATATGAACTTGCAGCAATTTGTGTCAACATGTACAAGACCCATGCTGAGGCAATCAGACAAAAATTCAGCATAGAACTGGGGAAATGGGCATCAGACCGAAACTTAGCTGGGGAACTATTGGTAACTTATTACTGCTGGGTGAAGGAGAATTGATTGTCTCTAAGGGAGTGACTTAGATAGGCTGACTAGACTCCAGTCAATGAACTTGCACTGAAGGACATTTGGTGGGTGGGCTATGGGGGGTATGGATGAGGTAGGGAGTCTAAATATGATTAAGATTTATTGTATGAAATCCACAAAACGCAATAAAAATATACATTAAAAATACTACAATTTTAAGAAGTAACTCCTATAGGGATGTGGTTAGGTTAATTTTAAGTTTGTTTTATAATAAGTTGTGTTGTGTCTATAAAGTTAAAAAACCTGAATATATTAATAGCACACAATAGCATTGAAAGCTTTCCTGGAAGTTTTTTTTCTCTAGGCTTACGGATACGTTTCATAATGTCAAATAATGATATATTATTTTGGCATTTTCTGGGTCTATTTTAGGTTATGTGTGACATGGATTTCAGAGGAGGTGGATGGACATTGATTCAGAAAAGGATTGATGGCACAGTTGACTTCCAAAGGTTGTGGTGTGACTACCTGGATGGATTTGGTGACCTTTTAGGTCAAATTTTATGTATTTCTGCTTTTTATTTTTTCTTCATTTTTGATGTGATGTGTGTAAACTGTACCAGTATTAGCCAAATCTTCAGTAAGAGTATATCTATGTGAATATCAGCATATGATTTAAAGTTATTATTTTTCATGTCCTATTATTTAAAAATTGTTTTTACTTAAGACCTAGAAATCTTTAGAGATGGTTGAAATGTGATTTGAGTGAGAATTCTGAGGTGGATATTTGTTAAGCACCTGCTCTTAGTGGTTCTGGTAGGTGCCTACAAACTGTTTGTAGAGCGAAAAGTACACAGGCATCGCCTTAAAATTCAATGAACCATAGAAGGAAGTCATATGGCTCTTAAAGCCAAACCATTTGAACCAAGTGCAGAGTATCATAAACACATGACTGTATATGACTGTTCTCAAAATCTGAAAACTATAAACCTGGATAAGTTGTAAGTTCACATCACTGTTGCACCTGGCAGAATTGCTTTTGCTAGTAAACAGGACACCGGTATTTTTGAAATCTTTCAGATTTTACAGTAGTTGAAACTTCTACAGTTGGTGTTGATATTATTTATGCTATTTTAACAATTGTCATTGTTAGAATGTAAAATGTTTAACCTCCCATAATGTCATCCAAGGATTCAGTCAGTGGTGACATTAAATCTGGGGATAAAACCCCTATGTAGCACATTTTTTTTTTTTTTTTTCAGAGCTGAGGACCCAACCCAGGGCCTTGCGCTTGTTAGGCAAGCGCTCTACCACTGAGCTAAATCCCCAGCCCCTGGAGCACATTTTTAAAAGGCCTTGGGTCAATAGCCACACAGCTGTCATGCTACGGAGCACAACTGAATGTTTGCTTTTCTCAGCATTGTCTCTAATTCCCATTGAACATTTCCTCTTGAATGAAATAACTGTATACATAGCTTCAAACTGTCACTTTTCCTTAGTGATTATTTCTATGGAGGAGATGATAAGCTAAAAAGATCTTTAAGCAGGTATTGTTTGTGATAAGTGAGACTGCTGTATATTTAGTATAATTAAGATAAATTGGGGATTAAGAAAAATGTACTGTTAGGTCTTAAATGTGAGACTGGAGTAAAGCTGAAAGACAGATGCTTAAGAGACTGTGAAACTGACTAGCTCCTGGAGACACCATCAGCAATACAGAGCCACTTTTCTTTTTTTCCTGTACTTACTTTTTTAGTTCTAACAGAGTGCTTGCTAAAATATTCTGGGGAGAGAGCTTGATACCTTAGTTACAGTTTTCAGTTTTAATGCTGTCTCATTATCATCCAGCCCTCTGCAGTCTTATGTCTTATAATTTCATAATTCACATAGGTTATATCTCAGGGCTGCTCACACTAATCCACAGTGGTTAGGGGGAGGTAGAAAGCCATTGGTTAAGACATGCATGCAAGGATGACACTGTAGAGTTAGGGAGTTCTATTAATATAATCCATCCTATATCTACAGCTGTTTTAGAAATACAGTAAGTCTGGGGATGCTTCAGTGTGGCTACATATTGTTTCCATTCATAGCTAATTTGCAAGCTGATTTTTAATAAATATTCATTTATAAGGTACTCTCCAAGAAAGAAAAAGTCATTTCAGATGAGCATGTTCAGGAAATGTCTCTTAAGGAGCAACATCTTTGGGGTTAAAGCTCCTACATTTACATTACATCCTACATTATCATTGGTTGCCATAATAGTTCAAGTTTTCTGTTGACAGGCCTTAAAAGGTAAAACTTGACTTTTTTTTTAGTCTTTAAAGTTAGTCTTTAAATGAACTTTTAAGTTGAATTTGGGGAGATAAAATGAAACAGTTTGGTTTTCTTCAGTCTAGTGAAGTAGAAATAGGTAAATCAGAATAAGTAAATTAAGCATTGATAATTAGAGCTAAGTCATCTAGTCTGTATAATTATTTGAGGCAACTCAGTTACTGAAACACTAACACCTACATTGTATAATAAAGGATTGTTCTAATTTGAACATATTAGAAAAATATGTTAAAGCAAAGCAGTTTTTTTTTTTTTAAACAGGAGAATTTTGGCTAGGACTGAAAAAGATTTTTTATGTAGTAAATCAAAAAGATACCTGCTTCATGCTGCATGTGGCCTTGGAATCTGAAGATGACACATTTGCTTATGCATCATATGATAATTTTTGGCTGGAGGATGAAACAAGATTTTTTAAAATGCACTTAGGACAGTATTCGGGAAATGCTGGTAAGTTTTTAATTCCTAAAATGATCCAGAAAATTGAAAATGTCACTGTCTCATGATTAACTGAAGATAGAAACAATGCATAGCATTTAACAATGAAATAAGTGATACTGGAACAGGGAACACTGTCTGACGAACACTGCATCACTTCATGACCTCATGATGCTTTCTGTCCTTTAAAACCACCACCCGTATGTAATCCCAATGATCTTTTGGATGGAGACCCTGTGAGGTTAGCTGGGTGGGCAGCATTCCCATTCGCATGATCAGAGAGGCTGACACTTAGAAGTCATAGAACATTGGTGCCAACCTCAAGCCTTTTAACTTTGTCAGTGAAGATCCCTGGAAGATGAAGCAGCTGACCCACGATTTCCACTGATCCCACCTTTGTCATCTAATCCAAGTTGACAGAAGCACTGAGCTGAGTTCTCCCACTGCTGTGGTGCATTTGTCCATTTCAAAAAATTTAATTCATTAGAACTTCTAAATATTTGGTGATGAATTTATATTTTGGTGCTGAAGTTTTAAAGACATTGGTGTGAAGAAATACTAAAGTCCACTCCCCTGTTGCTGCTGACTGTGTAGTTGTTGGTTATGCATATTCAGAGTTAGAGAGCCAAAATGAATTTTGTATGTTCTATGGATTTCAAATGATCACAACACAGAGGAAAACAAGTGAACATGTCCAAACACAGAATAATGATAGAGCTTTTGGGTTTAAAGAGAGTGAGAATGATTCTAGTCAACTTCATCCAGAAGAATTTCATGGAAGAATAGTTTTCAATAAGAGGTTCATGTTAGATCCTTTTGAAAATACACAATACATAATTTAATGCAGTCATTTCAGGCCAGATGGATATACTGGCATCCTTACAGCTGAGAACCACATATTTGGCCTTAGAGGAATGGATAGGTTTCATCAAATGGGTGTTGACAAATGGGGCAGCTTAGATCAAGGCATAGAGGAGGTGATGGCAGGGCACAGAGAACTGTTTGGTGGGACCAGCCTGTGACAACTTAGTGACTTTAATTTGGAGATATTAAAGACCTACAGGCAATCAATGGATGCTGAGAGAGGGAGAGTCCCAGGGGCCAATTCCCTAACTTGCTCCCCGAGAAGTTATCCAATCCCAAGTGGACAACCCTAAACACACGTGAATGCATGGCTCAATGTATTACATGTATGTGTACATTTATAAATGTATGTATGTATATGTAACAATAATAAAGAAGAGGACAAAATTGTGTGGGAGTTAGGGGGACATGGGAGGAGTTGGAGGGGGACTTAGGAGGGGTAAAAATAATGCAAATACAAAACTCATGTATGAAATTCTCAGAAAAAGAGAAAGTTTGAAATTCAAATATGGATGTATAGGAGAAAGTCTAAAGCGTTACACTCTAAGTTTTCAATATTCCATCTCTAGAATTGTTAAGAGCTGCCTACACATGGAATGTGACATGTTGGGAAGTGTGGAACTCCCCAAAAGATGACCATGCTTTTGTTAGAAGACAATTATAATGGGAGGATTTTCTTTCTTTATGGAGCTCTTAAATTTTACCATGATTATTAAGTAGATTTCAATTGTTTATCACATGATACAGTACAATGTAAGATGGAAATACAGATAAAATGAGATCAGGGCTCAAATTTGACATCGAGCTTAAAGAAAAAATAGAAATAGGAACATGAACATTTAAACAAGACAATTGTTTTGTAAGAAATACAAATAAGGATGAGGAGATGGATCAGTTGGTAAAGTGTCTACTACATAAGTAACAAGAACCTGAGTTTGGATTCCCAGGACCCAAGTAAAGAGCTGGGCGTAGTAGCACGTGGCTATAACTGCAGCCTAGTTGGGGCTTGGAAATGGGTAGATGCCTGAAGCTCAGTGGCCAGCGTAGCCTAATCAGTGAGTTTCAGGTTTAGTGAGAGATGTCTCAAAAAATAAAGGTGGAGAGTGATGAAGGAAAGAGACCTTGGGGCTCCACACACATGTGCACATGTCACACAGTTATGCAAGGCAACACCACACACACACCTACACAACATATGTATGCATACAAATATTCCTGACAGTAAAACTTGAAGGAAATTTCTATGGGTTCTCAGAGAAAGCAGCACTGTAACTGTATCATTGCAGGGACCGAAAGCCCTAACAAACAATCTAAGGGAGGGAGGATTTATTTTGGCTTACAGTTTCAGAGCTGATAGTCTGTCATGGCAGGGAGGGTGTGGTGAAGCAGAGCAGGGCATATCTTGATGCCTAAGAAGCAGATACACACACACACACACACACACACACACACACACACACATGTATATATAGTGAGTCATTAAAGCTGGGTGGTGCACACCTTTAACCCCAACACTCGGGAGGCAGAGACACACACACACACACACACACACACACACACACACACACACATATATAGTGAGTCATTAAAGCTGGGTGGTGCACAACTTTAACCCCAACACTCGGGAGGCAGAGGCAGTCGGATCTCTGTGAGTTCGAGGCCAACCTGGTCTCCATTAGTGAATCCAGGCCAGCTGTGGCTACAGGGAAACCTTGTCTCAAAAAGATAAAAAAGAGAAGTGATTAAGTATAATCCTGTAATCCATTGAGAAGTCGTATGATACAGATCTTCCTGATGGTTGAACTTTGCATAGGGAAACTATTCATGGATCTGTCACAGAATTTAGGCAGTGCTCCCTAGGTGAATTAAAAACATTTTTATTTTTTATTTTGTGTATGTGTGTAGGTACATGCATACCACAACCTGTGTGGCAGTCAGAAGACAAGTAGGGGGAGGGAGTCAATTCTCGCCTTCTGTTACGTGGGTCCTGGAGATTGAACTCAGGTTGTCAGGCATGACAGTGCCTTTACCCACTGAGCCTGGGTGAACTTTTGAAAGGTATTGAACTGTATGGATGCTGAAAATGGTATTGGTTTTGTAGATACATACCTGCAATGTGTGTCTTTGTGCCCCATAAAACACAGTCAAAGACTTTACTAATCAGGAGAGCTGGGTTTGGGATAGGCCACACTAATGAACTTCTTCAGGCTTCTTAACAGATCTGTCTTAAGAGATGCCAAACATTCAGATGTATTATGGACTAGGTCTTGGCTTCTCCATTATGTACATCACATAACTTCTCTTTTAGCTAGTGTTTCAAATATATTAGTCAAAGTTTTCATGCAGGTGTAATGTAGGTATGAATCTAAGAATATTTAATTTCACAGAACTTGATAAAGCAAAATCTATTTTCCGCTCTATAGTTTAGTGATAACCTCAGTGTCTTGGCACAGATCCTTAACCCTTGAAGGGATTGTGTGACTGTCAGGCACACTATTTGCAATGTCCAATGTAAGCTCTTTAAAAATGGTTAGTTTGTATAGGATGTGAAGAACCACAAGGAAAATCACAGGTCAGTAGTATATCAAAGGTTTTCACGAGAACATTAGGCATGCTGTATGAATATGATGCCTCCTGAATAAAGTTGAAAAATTTTGCAATTATAAATCTAATTTTCTTAAGGGCAAAAGTTAACCTCCATCCATAATTGTCTTTCTAATGTGATAATGGAAAGTATACAAACTTATGTAGCAGGGCATGGTGGCCATACCCTTATCCCAGCACTGAGGAGGCAGAGCAGGTTATCTCTGTGAGATGCAGCCTGGTCTGCATAGCAAGTTCCAGGTCAGTTGGGGCTACAGGGAGACTCTGCCTCAACCCCTCCTAACCCGCCTCCTCAGATCCTCCTAAATCCCCAAATCAAAAAAAAAAAAAAGACAACCATGTATGTTCCCCCCTCCCCCGGGTTATCTATCCATTATCATAGAGATTACGTTAGTGCATGATAGGCCTACATATTGTCATTTTTGGCCTAAATTATTTGGTTTTGCCTATACAGTCAGCCTTCCATTTTGGTTGGCCTCTCCATTTAAAGATGACAAGATTTTTGGCATATTGCAATTTTTAGGAGATTTTTAACACAACAGTAGAAAAATAATTGAAATGTATTTCTGGATGCAATGATTTTAATAATAGATTGGTAATTAATCAAAATGGTAAAAAAATCCCTTTCAATTCATTATTTGGAAAAACCTATTTCATGCAGGTGATGCATTCCGGGGCCTGGGGAAAGAGGATAATCAGAATACAGTGCCTTTCAGCACCTCAGATGTTGATAATGATGAGTGTCGTCCTGCTTGCCTGGTGGGTGGTCATTCTGTGAAGAGCTGCAGTCACCTGCATAACAACACTGGCTGGTGGTTCAGCCAGTGTGGTCTCGCAAATCTAAATGGCATCCATCACTTTTCTGGAAAACCACGTGCAACTGGAATTCAGTGGGGCACATGGACCAAAAACAACTCACCTGTCAAAATTAAATCTGTTTCAATGAAAATCAGAAGAACCTACAACCCATATTTTAAATAATCTTAAACTGTAGTGTAATTTCTATAGTTATTTTTGAAAATATGTTAAGAATTTTACAGTTTGTCTTTTTACTTAGAGTTTAATGTATTAGCCAAAATTTGCATGTAGATGACATTTTAGTGTTATGGGTTTAATTAGAAAATTTTAATTTTGTAGCATTTT